GCCAGAAGGCGATTTCATATCACCCCCATCCAAAAGTAGCGGTCGCCCAACCGACGAACCGACCATTAGCGCAGACTGAAAAGTCCGCAATGGCCAATAGGCGCATAACCCTGAAATTATTTATTTTTGTACCTGTTCAAATTTCCTAATTTGTAATGTTATGACCCTGAAGAAGATTTGCCGAAAAGTATACTTTGCCTAACAAATTAATATTCAATTGCGACGTTTGTTGTGGACGTTCATTTTTCTCGGCAATTAATTGACATGTTTTCATGGTTCTGAAACCATGACACAAACAGACAGCTGCACAAGAGAGAATGTTTCAGAGCTTGTTATTTGGGTTAATGCTTTAAAGCTATATCTTATTTCGAAGGTTTTGGTAAGCACGTGGAATATAATCCTTATTTATGGTCAATCGACTGAAGCCAGGGAAAATCGTAAAGTCCTAATTAGAATTTCAAGGAATATCTGAACCTCTTTGTAATCGAAATCCCAAAGTAATTATAAAGGAATGTGGTGGAAGGACATTACTCTAAGTTTGCCAATACAAGCGAACATCCGTATCCCGGGAAGTAATTGAGAAGAAGAAGACTCGATCGCTGGGACAATATGTTTATTCGCCTGACTGATGAATAACACTCACGCCCCCTGTGATGGCACCGTATACTACTAGTCAATAAGCCCTGCCTGTGTGTGCACGTGTGTTTGCAAGTACACACATCGCGCGTACGGCAACGTGTACAAGAAACAGGCCTCTGACGTGGAAATCCCGCGCGAATGCCTATTAGGACGCGGGCGGGACAGCTGACCAATCGATGAGCGGAAAGCCAGCGGAGTGTTGACGCACAATAATACTCGAGTATTCGCTCTAACTGCCCACGGCGCACGCGTAGGAAATAGGTCGGTAAATTATAAGGCAGATAGAATGGTTAGTGGCGACTGACCAGAGCATCCAAGACAAGCTTTAAAGGTTTACTTACATAAACTGGTGGGAACGCCAATCAGATATTTAAACTGAAGTAAAAAGCGACTGAAGCAGACTGCGATTTGAAAATTATATAAATCTTGAAAGCAGCAAACGTCTTCCAACAATCTGAGTCGCCTGTGTGTGGCTGTTTGCCTTAAGAAATATTCTTAATGCATAATAACTTTGCATCTTTTCCTTTCTCAAGTAGGTTTGAACAATTCGAATATGTCCGGCTTGTATGTTATATTTGTTAATTAGTTGTATTTACGCGGCTTCTATATTTAGGTCAAATGGGGGCAAATAGTTCGCCTTGACTGTTAGGCGAAGAATAATAGTTATTAATTTCCTAAAATGACAAAAATCAATGCAATAGCTCCAATAAATTGCAAAAGGCAGGAATTTAAGATCTGCCTTCCAGTTTATAGGAAATTTCAGATCTGTGTTTTTTCAGTGGCTTCTGATTTCGATAGTCTGTCTTAAGAAATATCCTAATTCGCGTAATTTAGATTTAACCTGCCAATAAAACAACTTGAACCCTCTTCAAACGGGTCAAAGCTGAGTAGAGTTTTTAGATTAGTTAATCATTTCTATGATCCTCATCATCACCCGAAGAACATTGATGGATAGGTATACACAGACACCGGTCACCAGGGCTAGGACATTTGTGTTTCCATCAGAAAAGACGTTTGGGGGGCATCCCATTCCTGTCGAACTCAAGCTTGCCTTAATAAAAACTATGTGTTTTTTCGTAAACTAAGAAAGAGTAGAAAAGGAAATGCTTATTTAACGAATACTATAATTTGTACGGGGGGGGGTTATAGGGCGGACCCTAGGCCGGTATCCCAGTTGCAGCTGTGTTCAACCACAGTTGGTCGATGTATATTGATAGACAGCACGAGGGACTAAATTTCAGCAGGGGACGACTCGCATGCCGGCCGTCAAGTAAGTACTGCATCAGAGAGATCCATCATCTTCGATTATGGGGAGTTAGGGTGTCTGACGTGTGTATTTCCAAACCCGGTAGTCTCTGAACTTATCCCCAAACTCCCTCCTAACAAAATGCTCCCACGGAGAAGATAATTCAGCCTGCTCCAAGCCGCCGTCCCACGAGATGAAAGTCATGAGCAACAGTGCGGTTCTAAAGAATGATTGCACAGCCTTATCTTGGAATATCAACGCTTATTCTTCTGCGAGAGGGGCTTAGACGCTGTGCGTTAAAATGTTGGCAAATCAGGGCTTCCGCAAGGTTGCCGTGACTTGTGGACGCCAAAGATGTGGTCCAAATGGCACACCAAACAAGCATTGCATGTCCGTGTTTTCTAAAGTCTGCCAAAGTGACACTGCTCATTCTGGCGGCCTGGAAGATTCGTCCGCTTTTAAACAATTCAATGGCCAACCATTCAAAAAGAAGAACGGTTGTAGGTGCCTGCGCTTCTCTGGGCGGGGAAAACTGGAGGAGACCGGTGAAGAATGCAGATTCTCCTGGGTAGAGCCAAGAGGCGCCGGAATGATTTTCCGGGAACAGCGTCATGAGACGGCAGTCCTGTCTTCCACGAAGCGTCAGTGACCATCTCATGACCAGGAGGCTGTTGCAGCAAGAGCAA